GAAAAGAATATTTTCTTTGATTGTCATATCATATAATGATGGTTCCTGACTAACGAGAGCAATATGTTCCCGAAGATTGTTCACATTCATTGTAGCAATATTAGTTCCGTCAATTGTAATACTACCACCCGTTACTTGATAAAATCTTTCACTAAGACCTATTGTTGTACTTTTACCACATCCTGATGGACCGACTAATGCTGCATATTGCCCAGGTTTAATTTCTAAATTTAAACCTCGAAGAACAGGAATTTTTGGTCGAGTTGGATAACGGAAATGGACATCAGAGAATTTAAGGTGACCTTCGATAGTTTCAACCTTTTTACCACTTTGACGCCATGTATCAATTATGGGAACACGTTCTAACAATGAAATTATGGTTGCAGATGCAGATTTTGCTCTGGACATATCAGGAACATAAGCAAAAACACGACCGGCAGACATTGATCCAAACATAATGGCCATAAAAACCGTAAACATTTTTTGAAGATCATATTCATTATCCATAAACAATTTACTACCATACCAAAATGCTAAAGCATTTGTGAAATAGTTTACACATTGTGCGAAAGCAAAGGTGGTGGAGGCAAAGAAGGCATTTTTAAAACCTTGACGCATAGGTTCGTCTAGTAAATGATGATACATATTCCATAAATCTTCTTCACGTGTGAGAGCAGCGACAGTTCGAATATTACCAGCACCTTCGCAAGCGATTTGCGCAGAATGTTCATAGGCTTTCTTAGTTTTTTGTTGAAAACCATTAACCATTTGCATACGTAATGCACCAGAACCAACTAATAAAGGTAAACAACATAAGCAGACCAAAGCAAGCTTCCAACCAACTATAAGTGCCACTATGACACATGCAACAATCGTAGTCACCACTTGTAATATACCTCCAAGTGTAGAGCCGGCCAAACCATTAACGTGAGTCGCATCTAATGATAATTGACTGGTCAAAGTGCCTACACCATGTTCTTCTTCATCAAAGAAAGAAATATCTTGTCGTAAAATAGCAGCAAAAGACATGGATCGAATTCGTTTAGTAAGCTTTTCACCCGAAACTCCAAAAGCAATACCTTGGACAATATTTGCAACAAGGACCGCTGCAGCAATTACGAGAAACATCAGAGCCCAAAAAGTTGCACTATTTCGTAAGTCATCATTAGTTTTAGAGAATGCTTGAAGAATATTAGCAAAGATAACAGCAAAGACTGGGTATATGCAACCTAAAATTAAAAAAGCTATATTAGTTTTTTTTTTTTTTTTTTTTTTTTTTTAGAATTTAACATAAATGAATTTTTTTACATACCGTTTACGACTGATCCTAAGAAACCTACAGCAAGTATAATAAACTCGGGTTTATTAATGTATGCTATCTTCTTCATCAATTCCCAAGTAGTATAATCTTCTTCGCGTTTTATTCCCATTTCCATATCAGCTTTTTGCTTAGACAAAAAGGCAGATGACACAGATTTGTTGGTTTTTATGCGAGTAATTTGGTTATCTTCTTCAGGTATTATATCATTCTTGGCAATAAGTGATATATCATTATCTTCCGGTGGGGTTACAGATGAATCTTGGTTTTCTTCAGAATTTATAGCTTGATGAATCTGTTGAGCTTCTACAAGTTTAGAATATGCACCTTTTTTATCCATGAGCTCTGTGTGTGTACCCGATTCGACAATATCACCTTTATGCATCACAATAATCTTTGTCGCATTACGGATAGTAGATAAACGATGAGCAATAACAATAGTTGTACGACCTTTTGAAGCCTTGTCTAACGCATCTTGGACGATACCCTCACTTTGTGTATCAAGAGCACTAGTAGCTTCGTCGAGTAATAAAATTTTTGGATCTTTAACAATAGCACGGGCAATTGCAATACGTTGCTTTTGACCACCAGATAATAAAAATCCACGTTCACCAACCATAGTTTCATATTTATCAGGAAGGTTCATAATAAAATCATGAGCATTAGCCATCTTACAAGCATTTTCAATCATCTCACGTTTTTTGTCATCAGATAAATGTTCATAAACGGAACCGATTAATCCATGAGCCACATTTTCGGCTATTGTGGTATTAAAAAGTACGGGTTCTTGACCAACGAGACTTATTTGTCTTCTAAGCCAAGTTAGGTTAAG